TTTTATGATCACTTTATGGAAGATAGGTCAGTTTAGTATTTGTACTATGGTGAAAATTTATGCTTTTAAGGTCTTGAAAGGTTAGATTAACTACTAAGCTCTTAAACAAATACGGAGGTAATAAATTCTCCGCTGATCATCACATATGCTTACGGCTAGAGTAAAATTTGTCACTCTATCATTCTATACTTCTTCTAGAACCTCTGACTAGAGCAAAAGTTAGAGTAGAATTTTCTTTTTTAATTTCCTTTCAATACCGATTGTTTTTAATACTCACTGCTGCATGAAAGAAGAGTATCATTATTTTTGTCAAATCTGTGTTGCCTTGAATTCAAACGCAAATTGGATTTTAATTACTGTAAGGTCATACAAATAGTTAATTCAGATTATAAATGTGGCCGATACTCTTAGCAATAGTACTTTGAGATCCAATTTCTAAAGATTGAAATTGTTATATAGTTTCCGAAAATTTCATTTTTAAATTTTAAGGAGTTTAAAACAAGGCAATATTTCTATCAAATGCCTGCTTGGAGGCTCACGTTTAGTTTATACGCTTCACCAGACTTTGATTCTATGCATATCATATCCGTAATTCACTGTAATGCAGTTTCGTTGCAATTTTTCTATGGCATTTTACCGATTAATAATAAATAAATGATGCTGGAAACTATCGACTTATCAATTGAAGACTGGGATACTCTAAAGATTAACGCGTTGAAATAATCTTCTTTCGTTTTTACCGCAGGTTTTAATCTCTAACTTTATTGGATTAATTATTGGAGGCAGTAATCACTTCAAAAGATCATGGGTAAATAATTTTAGGTCCATTTTAATAACTTAATGTTAAATGAAATTTGGTCACGGACGTAAAAATTCTTTTTATATAGTCACAGTCAATATTCTACAATAGCAGATAAAGGAATCAGTCATTAAAGTACCTTAAAGATTCATAAAGATCGCATTATCTAAGATTACTTATGAATGTCCGTCCAAAAAGTACTATTTGATAATAAATTGTATTATTAGTCATTGTATAAGAAGGTTCAACCATAACGTTAAGTAAATATTAAGCTATACATAGTATTTGATCGTTGGATGATAATTTCCTAGAGATCGCATACGGTTAGAGGTCTTGCTATAGTATTACTACGCAATTGAGGCAAAGAATTAGGATTGGTTAGCCAATAATTTATCTTAGAGAAGTGATTAAAATGAGCTAAACGTCATCAAATTACTGCTTGTTACTACATAATCAAAACCAGAAACTTTTAAAATAAAAGAACTAGTATATTTATAGATCATCCAGTTGCCAATTCACTAGTAGAACGGAAATACTAACATTATTGTACTTTATTAAACAGTTATAATTCATAAAGTAGTTCTAATCGTTGCGAATGAAAATATGTTCAAATTAAAAATTTTGAATTTCAATTTAACTTTCTGACCATACTTTTGAATATACTTTAGAACATATAGCATACAAAATTAGTATCGCGTAGTATAATTTTGTAGCACCTTTTCATATAATATTGCTAAATGAAATTATACTATAAAGCATAATAAAACTGAGATATTTAACGTAGTATAACTGTTTGTTAGATATAAGTAGATGCCTTTTAATGGCGAGTCAGTCATGTCATGCAAGTAATTAAACATTTAAAAGTAATTAAAAATGGAACAAGTATTGGTGTAGTTATGTTTTCTTTGTAGCAAATCTCTCTGTAATTTGTGGTAGTGTCATAGATTCCGTTGTTGCGAGAATTAAATATTATTATCACGAGTATATCCTTTTCATGTTATAGTATGAGCAAAATTTCATATCCTTTATACGTATCTGGAAGTATTTGACCTCTGCTAATCTCATTTACACATTCTCTTCCAGATGAAATGTTATTTTAATACATTTCAGTTTTCACGACTCTTAAGTATATTATTTGGTATCAATATTAGAACAACAGATAAATTTTTAACACTTGCACTATTAACTAAAGCATAAAATTCTTGGGATATTGCTATGATAGGTAAAATTCCATTCCGTTGTAGTTTTTATGACAATAATGGCCATTATTGGAGGTTTGGTGATGGTGATTATTAATTTATCAAGGCTACACCTAATACCAGAGTATATACAAAGTCGAGATGGTGCTCAGCTCGTTAATATTCGATCGATGAAAATTGGTACAGAAATAATTAATATTATGTCAATGTGTGCCTATGTCAGTTATGCCATGATATTTTGCCAGATCTTAAAAGTATATCGGAAACTTTATATTTATTATTCAAGGCATCAAATCGCAAAATTACCGGTAATTAAAACTGATCATAGATCACATAGTAAATATATTCTGGAACTACTCACACAACTTTCACTTAACTTTTATATAACTATTTCACTTGTTCTTATGTATTCGGTATATAGCGATTGCAAGCGGTATAAGGTTGGAAAATTCGAGAAAAAATTGAAGATGCTTCTGATTGTTTATTACTTGCGTTTTATGAGTAATGAAATCATCCAAATGATAATGATTACTATTTTGACGAATTTGCATCGAAAATAGCTGATTTTACTCTCACTGGTATTCTAAATTCACTTTTCGTACAATAGTTAAAAAGGAATTTATATATTTAAGCGATGCTCGACACATTTCTTCCTTTTAGAATTGCAACTGATGATAAAGTATTCTCTTAAAACCATCATCTATTCGATAGCTACTGTTCTTTCAATTGCTGCTATACGAATTTAGCTATAACGTTAAAGTTGGTCACTAAATTTTAAAGAATAGCAATCTTTGTGTTTGAAAATTGATTTTAGTGGTACTTTACTTCTGAAATGTGATACCGTATAAAATCTATCAATTTAAGATTTGGGCTAGTAGTCATACTAATGAACAGCCTTTTGTTAAGATTATGATGTTAAGCCGAATTAATTTAAGGCATTTCGATTTACATCAAATATATTTCATATATTAAACAATATATCACATTAGACTAATAATTATTTAAGCTGCATAGTACTAGCATTATTTCATAATGATAAAATATATTTACTCGATTAGTGCTACTTGGAACATCTCATCTGTATCTTTATTGATTTAAATAAAATATTTAAGAACAGTTTCGTTATCGATAATAAATAAAATATCAATAATTTACCCGTTACTTGCAGATAATATCTTTTATATACAAGTTAGTATCGAGCAGTATGGTAACTCTAAAGGGGTTAGTAATATTGATTTACTAATGGACAGATGCCGACGCAGTATGTAAGAGAGGATAACGTATGATTACGTTATTTTATTCGTGAAACATAAAATATGTACAAGGAATATCATTTATTTTAATCAGATATTCAGTTAATGATACTAAATGCTTACTTTAAGTTTATACCATATGGAAATCCAGATATCGCAAATCTCGTTCTAAAGCATGTGTTGCATGCACTGATAAGCTAGAAAATAGACATGATAACCTATGGTAAAGTATCATTTTAAGGCCGCTTACACCATTATTCAGAGGGCACAATTTTTATCTTTGCCAACTATATAACAACTATGGTGTAGGTGTTAATAGTACTCTGTTATTTTCTATGCTTTAGCCAAATTTATTTATTGCAGTATTCATTATTCAAGCATCATTCTAGCTGGCCCGTAAAATGATGACGTTACGATAGAGTTATTTGCTTTAATTAAAGATTTTACTTTTAGAAATTTAAGGATCGCAGATAATCAACTAATAAGTGAATTCATTTATATTCAAATAATTTCATAGCTATCAAGAATGCATCTTTGCCATATTACCATGATTGATTATTAAATTAAGAATTAATTAAATTAAAAGCTTTAATTACAGTAGTCGCAATTCAGCGGAAAAATTCATTACCAAATCACGATAGGTAAATTTTTTCCGCTGTAATGTAATTTATTTAATAAAAGAACTGAATAGATGCTGAAATATGGTATGGTACTCTTTGCCATTAGTTCTCATATGTCGACTTTATTATTAGTACAATTATTAGACAAATTAATCGATTAGTACTGCTATCCCATCTCTTTTAAAAGCTTCACTCTGCAAATGATTGAGCTATAAACTTCATCAGCCACGTACTTGAAATTGGAAGGCCATTAGTTGTATTATACTCGTATAAGAAATACAGAATCTCAATTTCGACTCAAAATAAAATCTTGAATAGCCTCCATCAAAGGTAGATAAGGAAAGGGTAATTTTTATCAACATTTTTTTAAAATGAAATTGCCAAATCTGTGCAAGGTAGTATATTTGAGATTTTGAGTTAGTCAAGAATTTGAAACTAACTGGATTTTTTAACAGTGTACCAGCTATGTTAACACTTGAAATTAAATTGCTGGCATCCTTAAATCTTTGTAAAATTTGCCGTATGTAGTGAATTGGTTCTAAAGCTCCTTAGTGTACCTACTGTAAAGAGGTGAAACCTCTACACCATCTTAACTGTGTTTGATACTATAATATTTTTTAACAGAATAGCATTTTTGCTAAATTTTTTCGCTATTTTCCTTAAAATTTGAAGATAAAGTGAATTCGCTTCTTACTTATCAAAATTAGTGACGATACAGCAAGTTTTTCTCGTGCATAATACAGTCTAGTAATAATATGAAATTGTACTTTAGCGATATATAAGTAATAGCGACGAATGAAGTGTCCATTTGTGGGTAGGATTTCGTTAGATCTAACTCTATTCTGAAAGTCTAATAAGTTATAAACTCTCGGTTACGGCGTACGTAGTAATTAAGAACGGCCCCAAAATATTTCAATTTTAAAAAAGCTTTCCAAAATTCTGTTTACAGTAGTGTGTTAAGATCCTGAATGTTAAACCTTAATAAATTTTGTGTCAAATCTTGTTATATTATATTGACTCATAGGAGAACTAATGTCAATTTTTCTTCCCCTATGATAAGGTTTAGACATCGAAAAGCAGTAAATAAATATCGATTGAAAACATTTAAATTACAATTTGTGCAATGGACATGGAAAATCTTCCAGAAATACAAGTACTGAATCAATCTGGTAGCGGTACTGAATCGAAAATTACTGTTACATTGTATCAACTGGTCAACTGGTGCAAAATCAATATCGCTTTAGCAACTATTATTATTATTACTGGAATATTTTCCATAAGTTTGCCAAATTCATTTGGTCTCTACACATCAGCTATAACTAAACTTGCTCATTGCTTTTGGGTTGGAGGACTGGTAAGTTGTCATTCATATCGAAAAAATTATAATATGTAACAACAGTTTGGGATAGGGACAGTCGTATCGGCTTTGTTAGTACAACTTGTGAGTATTCCATAATCTAAGTTTGCTGTATAACTTTCTCTTAAGTATGTCATACACGATTTAAATTAATTTTAAACTACTTTATAAATATTTCATTGTACGCTTTAATATTACGTACTTTTACTGGCTAGTTGTAATTAACATTGATTGTATTCGAAGTAGTCATACGTGAATAAGCTCATTTACGAAAGATTATTTTATAGCTTAAAGTAAGGTTTTACCTGAAATGAAATTTGTAACCGAAACGGTAGTTTGATACCATTGGTATTTCCAATTTAATTTTAATGCGATATTTTAGTCCCTTATGTAAAGTAGAATAAAGACTTACTTGCCAAAACCGATACAGTTTCATATATCAATGTACGGAACTTGAATGGGATTTTCACAACCTTGATAGTTGAAAATAATTAACCGTTTCTGGTCGTTATATGATTTTAAGATCTATTTGAACTAAATGCACTCGCATTTTAATCGTATAAATGATACGAATTACGCTGACTACGATAGTATTAGCTATCACAATTACGTCTATGAAGAGTCGTCGGAATGTGCGGATTACGATTAATTTAGGTTTTTATTTTATGATACCAAGGAATCAATATAGCATAGCAGGAAATATTACTGTGAATGTAAAATCTGACAAAGCAAGAGAATGATCGATTAGACTAAAATAAATCTTATTGAATTAAGCTTCTAGGTTCTTAACTTTCGTCTTGTTATATGCTAGACTCAAACTAGTAATCATTGCACATTATTCAAGGTATTAATTTAAAGAAAAATATAAATCTGGGACATTTAGAGTTGCTTTAACTTAATGATGTTCAAAACAGTGATTGATACGCGCACAGTTAGTCGATAGTAAATAATCTTATGTATGACCTATTTACTTAACTAGCCTTTACTGCAATCATCAAAAATTTATTAACAAAATATTTAAATTGTTATTAATCATTATTTATGTGATTTTTTGGTTAGACCGTCGTTTTTAGCCTTTATGGCATTTTAGCTTACAGAAACAAAGAATTTTCGGAGTTGAAGGTTTGTATAAGCTGATTGCATAACATTTACTTGATACATACCGGTATTTTTATACTGTATGAGTGTGAAAGTATGATGAATTAAAAATCTCTAATACCATGCTTAGATACGGAGAAGATATAGTAAAACTATACTCAAAGAATTGAAAATACTTTGTTTATATATATTTCAAATATCATTTTTAAATGCAGGCATCCATTCATGTAGCAATTGCTTCCATTAATATCATGGCTATCATCGGTGGATTTGTTGTTTTAGCATTCAATCTAGAAACCGTGATAAATTTACCTCATAAACCTAATAAAGACGGTACCGAATCAACAGTTATTGATGTTGTTACCGTGCAGGTGATCTCAGTTCTTGTCAGCGCCATAGTAATGATTATTTATACATTATTCCTCTACGGCAACGTAAAGTCTGTGCGAATGCATCATTACGTGCCAAGAAATTTACTAAGTCGTCCAGAACACGACTTCAGTCATACACTGGTAAGAAAAAAACTTATTCTGTACCACTAGTAGATGGATTAACTTCATAGCCAAGATTTTTTTATATTCTTTTATATATAAATTAAAAGTTCATATCCAGATACCCAAGTTTTCAACTATGAATATATATGAGCGCTTTAAAAATCAGTTTGGCAAATTCCTTAGTATACATTTTCGAACTATTTGGTGACAAAGCATAGTTGTTAGTTACTGATTTACTGTATTTCTATAATTTAATTTAGGTTTTTCCCATATAATAAATGGCCTTGCTAGCTTTATAGTGAAGATATAAGAGCAAATAATCAGTAAAATGGTCGTGGACTCTTCCAAGCATAAAAGCTGGTCGGTAAAGCATATTAGTGAATCGTGTATTGCTTCGACATATACAAATCGTCCAATGGCACGAAATGACATCGCCTGGAATATTTGGCCATTGCATAGAGGACTAATAGTCAAAATTCACTGCTTTGTGTAATCGTTCGTTGCTAAGATAGCAGTAGCCATGCTCTATTGTAGGAACAATTAGTTTGACAAAGCATATTTATCATTACCCGTACTAGCGGCTTGAACGACGATGTTTTACCAGTTAAAAGAAATACCCCATTACTAGTCCGCGTACTTCTTTATTGGTATAAATCTAGTTATAGTTATAGTGTCTTTCATTGGAGAACTATAAATCATCTGTGTGACATGAACTTGTAGCAAATGAAATATCTCTTTTTCATTTATTATATTATCAAACCATAATCTGTATCCCTAATGGTGGATATTGCTATAAATTTTGGTTCTATGCATTCTTTCAAGGCTTACAGGGTTATTTCTTTCTTGTCTACAATCATAACAGCTTTGATCTACGAACTGATTGAATTGTACTACGTCATTACCTATTTCATTATCATCACTTCATTCATGTCTCAAAATTTTACTTCTAAATATTGAGATTTTAATATCGATTTTGTACTAGTAATTGACGATTCAATCATGTTTGATCAGTAAGGGCATTAAAGGGTGCTATTCCATTGGCATCCTGCAAGCATCAAATCCAAAGATATAATATAAGACTGTCGTGCTATTCCTGTTATAATTGCAGCCACTGTGCTTAGTTCAATGCTGTTAAAAAGTAGGTGATACTTCTAGTAACTTTGCTATACATTAGAGAATGCCAGATACTGCAAAACAGGAGATCACATTGCGTTACCAGTAATAAAATATTACAGTATTTACGAATAGGCATTACTTGTGATAGAAATTTGACTATGCTTTCTTTATGTGAAGCTTTTCTTTAAATCATATAGCACCATTCTCGTACTTTAGTCTGTTAGGAACTTGCTGGTAAAGTAGTATACACATAATGTTGGCTTAATTTTGTACAATAAGCGCACATTCATTTGTAGCATTTCTTGGTCACCTTAAAAACAGACTAGCCTATGTGGTATGTATTGTATGTTGTCTATGATATATGAAATACACCTTGTGGTTATAAAGGTTTTTTCGCGATGATCGAAAAAATTTGAATGTCCTTTTAGCTTGGACCACTTAACAATTGTGTTATTTAAAGAGCAGCTTGTATGTGTCTTCTTCTGTTTCAGTTATAATTGTAAAATACTCGATATCCTTACCAAGCACATAAACAATATTTTCAGCCGTGTATGCTTACATGGTAGTTTGTAAAATATCTTTAAAATGTATACCTGCCTTTTGCTGTGAAATTATAAGGTAGATGCCAAACTTTATGTTATGATTGAAGTTAGTATCAATTTCGATATTGCAATTATGTTGTTTTCACTCTCACAGAAAATTTTAATTTTATCTGATGCTTAATTACGAGTATAACTCATATGCAAAATTCTATGAGCCTATCAATTGTATTATTTTTATTACTGTTATAAACATTTTTGTTTTCATCCGAGTTGTTTCATTGCCCTTTACCAGTGATCTATCAGAGACGGTTGGAAAAGGCATCAAATTTACTCGTACTATATTGTTCTTACTGCAAGAATTTGAAAGTACTCTATATTATTTGCTTGCGATCAGAAGGTCTATCGAATTTCGTGAAGGCAATTATTTCATGCATTTTGTATCGATACAACAATTTGTCTTTAATGAGAGGGTAAGTAGGCCGTATGTAGTATCAGGTTAGGACAGTAGAACAGATTGAAGGTATTAATATTGTTTGATATCGTTAGCTGTTTGTTATTTTTTTTATCTTGAAAGTCACTAGCTCAATCTTTTGTTACTATACTGTATATGTTGAGGGCGAATGATGCAGTCAGCAGATTGCTGTTGTACATTTGTAGAAGGTATCTTTCAAATTTTAGTCATAATAACGTAAGGCAAAACTGATTCAAAAGGTGAATAATAATATCCACGAAGATGCGAGCGTAATTATATAAGCGCTATAAATTCGAATACGCGTCTTAGTAGTTGATTAAAATGGATGAGATTAAGTATTACTGTAAGGCCTTCCTATACGTCATTCTATGCCTTTGTGTTGCACCTTGGTTGAACACGGTACAAGACAATCCATGAAACTGTTTGTAGACAAATGCTTGTACAGTAAATGATTTGAATCGAATGAAACATATTTCGTTTAATTCTGCTGATAATTAAAAATTGATTATAATTTATGGGTATCAATATTATAATACAGTATATGTATAATAAATAGATCAGTACAGATCCGTCTAAGCCCGAGTATTTATTGAGCTTAACACTGCTAATCACCACAATGATTTATTTCTAACACAGGTCATATTTATATAATTAATTAACCGCTACAGATCCGTCTAAGCCTAAGTTAAGTATACTGTACTGGAAATGACCGAGTAATCACCCCATCGATTTATTTCTAACACAGGTCATATTTATATAATTAATTAATCACCACAGATCCGTCTAAGCCTAAATTAAGTATACTGTACTGGAAATGACCGAGTAATCACCCCATCGATTTACTTCTAACACGTGTCATATATAATTGATAAATTAATCACCGTCTAAGCCTGAGTTGAGTATACTCGAAGTCGCTTTTAATCAACACAATGATTTATTAGTAGCACTGGTCATCTATCTCTATAGTACAGTAATAATTAATTCATGACCTATCCGTCTAACCTGAGTTGAGTATATTCAAAGTCTGTGAATAATCACCACAATGATTTAATTATTTATTTCTAGCTCTAGCCATATATAATTGATTAATCAAAATTAAATTCGTCAAGCTAGAGTTGAGTATACTCGAAGCATCAAGTCACAAAGTAATCACCACAATGATTTATTTCTATAGTAACATGAGTCATGCATAATTAATGAATCATCATCGATCCATCAAAGCCTGAGTTGAGTATACTCCAAGTCACAGAGTGATCGCCACTAAGATCTATTTCCAACACAGGTCATGATACCGTTGGATCATTCGCCATGACGTGCTATTGTGAGTCGGAAGGAATGATGTAATATGAAATCATTTCATTCGTTCAATATCCACTAATGGCGGCATTGGATAGGTTGATTTGCAACAGACTGACTATTACCGTACATTGTTCTAATAACAATATACAAAGGCACAATATGCGCTATTCATACAGTATGAATGAAAGTCAAGAATTTCATCACAGTGATGAAATTAAGTTGTGAATGATGATGACTTCATGCTGCAGGCGATCACGTTCGAAGTGAAGGCGACAGTTTTTAGTCGCAATTTGCCAGAGCAAGCACTATTGCAAGCCAGTTTTATTCGCGCGTATCCTTTACTGTAAAATGTAGTCAAATATCAAGTGGTGAACAGCTCCTGTACTCTTCAATATTCATATTTTGCACTGGGAGTAGAGTGTCTGGGTTGATCGATTTTCCTTAATTAATTATAATTAGTACGTCCCGACAAAAACGGACGACAGTACAGCACAGTACTGTACAGTACAACTTTTACAATACAAGAATCTCTGCGCACTCGGCGGGGTCTCTTAATAGGTACCGAGTCTACCGACACGATTATTGCGACGGTACTGCGCAAGTGTAAAAAATCCTGTAGAATTTACTGTAGCAACAATACTGTAGTGTACTATTGTGCAAAATGTGAGTAACTGTACTGTACTCACATTTTGCACAATACAGCACAGTACCGTACACATAAGCTTGGGTACGAATAAGCGTACGATACCCCAGGGTACCGGAACGAAGACTAGTAGTAATACTGAAAAGTATCCAATAAGATAACAATAGAAATGCTCATTCTTAGCTTTATGATCTGAATAACCGCCATGTCCAAGTCGCGATTGCGTCGACATAATGTAATCACGTTGAAGATAAAAATAAATAATAAATAAATAATAACATGATGATTTCATAGTCCAGTATAATCCTAGTACAATGTACAGTATAATAAAGAAAAGAAAATCGGTGTACTGTAGAGTAGAGTGTACAGTACTGAACGATGAATGCACTACAGTATTAACCCAAGGATAAAAGATAGCGCAGATTGCATTGGCCTATCATATCGCTCAGATTCAGTTGGAAGACGGTTGACGCTTGTGAACGTCAGACACTATTCATTCCCGTTCAAGTCGAATTGATGCTCGTGGCTAATTCGAACAGTCACTATTGTATCGAGAAGGTGGTCGCTTTTATCGACAGCATTGCGGATATTCTATTGCAAGATAAACCTCAATTAAATATTGAATTGAAGGTAAGTTCATGCCTCCATTGCATGTTAATAATATGGTTGCCTACGATCGACCTGAATCTCCTTTTAATTGACTGTCAGCACCAGCTAGTATTGATCAGATGCTGCATAACATTGGCCGTAACATACTGTATATATATCTTAACATAGTATGGTGTATTATCTGCAAGATTGACTATTTTGGATTTTGGATTTTTTTCATACGACTACTCTTGATTCAATATTGTGGCTTGCCATTATTGTTGAATTTGACTTGAACGTCGTGACAAAGTTAACTATTCGAGAATTTAGCAACGATGTACAGTAATTAGTCATGGAAATCATCATGATATGACGATGTCCTGTAGTTTAGTTTTTAATATATGCATATTTCATTTTGAATAGATAAACCCCAACTCAAAGTCAATCAGCCTACTCTTGGGTTTATATTTATATTATATACAAAGTTGTAATCCTGAGCATTGTTCTTCCATTGCAATATGTAAATTACAGGTCATAGTAATGAACCCCTACTAATTTGGCTTGTGCAAAACCTATGCGATCTAGAAATAAACGTCCTGGGTTGATCATTAGCTATAGCTCGATCCTTTACTATAAGTTATCTACGTAACAATTATAAATTGAATATTTCGACTAAAATAAATTTTTCGTAATAAATTGTTGATATCTATGTACAGTACAGTACTCCAACGTTGCGACCTGAGTAGGGTTCAGGTCAAAGTATAAATTCGCATGCCGAGGTCATAGTTTATGGCTCAGTTCGAGTGACGGCAATTGACTGAGTAAAATCAAATATGCACATGCCAAAGAAAAGCCTATAGCGTAAAGCGATAGCTGAAAACTGGCCAGGATATTCTATTTATAGTGGTATAAAACTGGGCTGTTTGTGATAGACTAGATAAAATTTGGGTGGTAAAGATCTCTTTGATTAAAGTACGGCGTATGATAAATTCAAAGTCAGAAGATTCGAACGCTAGCATTAACTCGACTACTACTGCACAATGAATGATTTGTTTAAGAAACACTTAAATCTCCTTTTACACACCGATTAATCTCGTAATGCTGATGATTGTCAGTCTGTATTGTGATCTACTTCGCTAAGTAACTTAGATACGCGCGGTTGAACTTCGCAAGAAATTGTGCTTTCAGTACTGACTAAATGTTAGGTAATTATTCATCGTGCCATTAAATTCGCAATGGTATGGTTACTGCTCGTAGCGTAATCACTCCTGATCCTGTTGGGCAAATAAAGTTATCACTATTTGAAGTTCTAATAGGTGAATATGATCGCTACTTTTTGTAGGAACGTAAAATACCTTTTCAAAATGGTATTAGTAAATCATAAAGCGTAATTAAATTAGCAAGATGCGAGTATTATCTCTGGTGAATAGAAGGTTGTTATGCTGTATTTCGATTTCCAGGCAAATTAATTCACATTTCAAAATCTTTTCTATACTTCATGTGATGACACACGCTTTCTTGGGCGCCGAAGAAAGGAAAACACAATCGCTAACTTGTAAATGATTTTATAGGACCAATAAAATCGCACTTTTAAGTATTTATAGTCGACATAACTATGTCGCACAGAAGTTTAATTATTGGTGAGGTACAGTTGATTTACCGCCTGGAATTGAATACAGACCTCCGGGAAAATATAGATACTTAAGTGTTGGACCTTCACTGGAGTACTGAATTACTGTATACTGTTAATGTAAATGGTCTGGATGGGGGAAATACTATGTTTAAGTTAAAAGTTGATGTCATTTTTTGTCTCTAGTCTATAATGCAAAGTTTGACCTGTAAAGCTCATCATGAATTAACTATCCGCAAACGAATACAGTACAGTACAGTATATTGCTGTACTGTACGTATTGCAGAATGACATCGCCATACGGAATGTGTACAGTATTATACTGGACAAATTTTATACTCTACTGTATGTTGTGATCATACATATTAATTATTACCTCAAATTTTGGTTCCTACAACATTGTCTGTCATTTACAATTTTTTGCATGAAAACATAGTAGCCAGACGTTAATGTTTTTGACATGTATTCGGACAAAAAATAGGCCACATTAAAATTGAGAGATCGCGGCTACGTCATAATGTTCTTTAAACATCATTACCATCAATATTGTTATAAGGGTATCGTACATAAATATTATTTTAGAGCGCGACCTTTAAAGCAAACTAACGCTTGGTTTGTTTATTTATTTATTTATTTCCTAAGTTGCTTACCCCTGGGTATTAAGTTAGGTAGATTATTCGTCTACCGGAGATTGGGTATTTTCTACTTTACCTATTTGACTTATTACTTTGGATTTTGGGCACTGTATAATGTGGATCGCGTTATTGATCAATCTCCAACTGTATACTGTATAGTTCTGCGTTATGACAGTAGTCGAAAATAACTACAGTATTACTTATTGCACTTTATCATTTTTGGACTTTGCTGTACAGTACTATTATTAATTACGCGAGTATACACGTAAAATTGTGCTTATGTACGCACTCCTTTACTCATGTGAAAAGTATTTCAAATAATCAGAACGCAAGATTAACTTAAACCAATGCATTGCTCGATTGCTAGGACTTGTTTACACGAAATCCAGAATCCTGCTACGCAAAATAGATTATTTATGTACTGTACAGTACAGTATATTGGTTGATTAGCCAGTAGCTATCATGCCACGATATGGTATTATTTATATTTGTGGTTATCTGCTATTTACAGTACTGTAGATTAGCTAAAACCCAATTAGATTATCTAAAGTAATGATAGGCAGTACTATCATTTGCATCTATGAGTTGAAATGGCTGATAAAATTTCGTGTTTACTAGCTATGCCAATTATTTACGGACGTCATGGCGATATTTAACAAGTGCAGTCGAATTTATGCAGTTAGCAAACTACAAATAGGTTACTCTGGGCTTTGGATAGATAATCACCTAACATAACTTGTTGTGATACCGCATTTTCAGGCTTTATGAAATATACCAATAAAAATCGCATTAATCTATCTTCTGATAGTATTGTCAATAAAGTACTATATGTAGAGTATTATAATCGATGATGACGTTATTCTTCTACTTCATTACTAATTAATATTTCAATACTTGAATTAAACGGTGAATTAAGGTCGCTTCTTCTCCGACTAGAGAGAGTAACGAATTCTTAGATTTTGTCACGCCAAAGCATTATTTCAAATACCGAATTGAAATACAAATTATTTCCTCATCATGTCTACATCAAAATCAACAACCGATACCATAGTTGCTGATACAATGGTTCAAGGCTCTGATGATACTGAGAAAGTAAAAGCTGTCCGAGGTATCATACGGAGACTACAGAAATACTGGCTGGTTGGTACTTTACTCGGTATTACCCACTTCATTTTGGGCATTGTGGCGGTTGCTAATCCTTGTACGTTCGGCTCTCATGCCATTGGTTTGTCAGAATATGGGACTTGCTTCTGGCTTGCGGGAGTGGTAAGAAATACGTACATAGAAGTGCATGTCATGATCTATTATTCAAACCATAGAATAGCTGTAATACTACAATTTGAGTTAAATATATGAAGGCTTTTGATACATAAATTGTATTGTCTGAACTTTACTTGACAGTCAGCGTCTTCAGTACAATCAATTTGATTGTGTACTATTCTTGATACTTTTTGTGTAGGTAACTTTACTGAGTATCGTAGGATTCTGTATCGCCTTGACAAGAAAATTTACGGAAAGAAATGTATGAGCTGATTTTAAAATTAATCATCTCTGAAAAATTATCCATCGAAAATTTATATAAATAATATAGATTACTTTTCCTAATGGTACTAGCAACCTTATACGTAAAATTTAGCGTTATACGTTAAAGCGTTCAATTATTTTTACGTAAGAATCTTTTCCTGCTTATTTCATATTTTGATGGTTATCCTTCATTTTGCCATCAAATTCTTTATGTAGTAACTGCTCATAGATATAAACAGTTTGTCAGAATATATCTTATGTGTATTTGATGTAGTAAGAACTGCATGACCGGTATTTTATTATTATAATCTAACCATGGTAAAATTTATATCAATGGATAGATTAAAATTCATGGAGCTATGGCCGCTTTGGGAACTATTATGACTATCGTAGGATATGTACTATTGGGAATTAATTTAACAAAACTGCTGGATTTAAAGAATGGTCAGGCTTATATCGTAAATTCATCCTGCACTGTAGCCGTAAGCCTAATTAAAACGTCGTCCATAATTATCACCCTTGGTTTATTTATTGTCGTTACAATCTACCTGATAATATGCGGATATACACTTCAGTCCTATTACTACACCTCGGAAGACCTAATCAAACTCAGTAAATCTGGATTGCCTGTTCAGGTAGGCAGTATTTAAATTAGCTTTAAGTATTTTCAACTCAAATAAGAAGTGATGGTGAATGCCTATAAAGTTACAATCAGATTCTTTTACTTTAATAGGTGTAAATTATGAAGAAATATTTTAAGATGACGTTGATAATAACTTTATTATAACATGGGCTGAGATGTTCGAAATTTCGAGATTTATCAATATAACGAGTATTTGATTGTTCGATAACCATGGAATATTAGTATAAATTTTTTATAGAAATATCGTTGCAGCCAAAAAATAAAAATTAGGCTGGTACACTAATAATTATAATGAATTAATATTATCACCGCAGTAATATTTCGTTATTAAGTTAAGTTATGCAGCTAATTAATGTTTACGGTTAGTATTGTTTAGTTACTTTTTTCGGAAAATTTATTTCCGTGCCTGACTAAAATCGACCGTGTAGTTTAAAAAGGATTGTATACAGTATAATACATTAGCATATTATGACTTACCATGCAAATACCTGATAAATTCCTTTTCCTATGGGTTGAATAAAAGTATCGCAGGAAGTTAATTATGCTTGATATTTTCTATAGATTTATGCCAGACGTTTTAGGTTGTGATCTTTACATGTATTTTTATGATTGTTTCATTTCGGAATCGTACTCTGAGTCTTTTCTGTCCTTGTTTATGTCTTTATCCTTGATATTTTAGTTCTGTTTATCTTATGTTACTTCCATGGCTATTTTATCTCATGGTTCGCTATTAAAAGTTAATTCTGATCTCTGAATCTTCCTTTTATTAACTGGTATTGTGTGACTCCGTTTTCTGAAAGAGATTTATTCTGTATAATTATGCACGATACACTGTGCAAGACCATAAGGTAAAACTCTGCTTTGAGCATCTATGATCATGAGGATAATTTACAGATACCTTGAAGTATTTTTGGTTCTGGTCAGCCTTTTAATAGTTGATTAAATAGATTATAAAATTTTGACATACTCGTATATTAAGAAAAACTGCTCAGAAAAATGGTAGCTAATTTGGAAGACATATATTAGTATCACTTCATTATTGCTTTTGTGGTGTAATAGCTCTCCATGATTATCAGTGGACTTGTCGCGATATACTGTAATTCAGCATTGAGATAATTATCATTAGTGGCCTATATCATAATATTGTCAATGCAAGCAATATATTACCCTCGTAATACAGTAGTTCGCTTACATACACGATTATTATGGTAGTGCTTCGTTTCCTTCTTACCAGATTTAAAACAGATGTTAAAAGAATACAGAGATTAGGTTGTGAATATTATGCAATATTCAGTAAGTGTGAGACATCAAACCTAACATCGATTTCTGAGTTTCGTTTTGTATTCCCGTAAAGTTATTCTAGGACTGCCTCAATAACTTATCGCGAATGATTATAAAGAATGTGGATTATTGTAGAATATCACACTCTAGTCATCAATTATACAGTATATCATTTTCTAATACCTCAGTCTGTTCAATGAGGAAATGAAATTGTCGGGTTTCCTGTACTGCTAGAGTAACAGCTCTGTATGTTCCGAATATATTTTTAAGATTTTAAGCAGAGCTGTGATATATACCAATCACGAAATTCCAAATTTTAGAAAAATAAGGGCTTTATTGAATCTTATACAAAGATTAACTACACACAGCTCTACTTTAGCCGAATACTACTACTAAAGACTTCTAGAACGAACTAACAGAATAATCTAAAGTTGCATGCTTTCATACTTTCCGTAGCATTCGCAGCTACAATCCGCATGGCAACCTTTTACCTTATTTTACACATAGTTAAATTATTCTTAGTAAGACTATTCTACTGCGGACCATCATTAATCCAATATTGATACGATTATAGTACTTACGTAGACATTATTCACACCAGCCAAAGTACAATGAATTAACCATATCCTAATATATGATTTACAGTTCTATTTTTACCTATAGCCATATTAGTAACTCAACAGCTTACTGTACTGTATATAGTCATCTGTACTCTAGCATAGAGTCTCTATCACTATAGTCTATAGTTACAGCTACCAAATATCTCTTAGGATAAATATCTACCGTACATTATACTACACATGGCTAACAGTCTACAATCACAATACTAAGTTACATTACAAGAGCTTATCGTGTAAATAACGATGAATTACTCACGTATTTGACAGTAATTTACAACTATATTTGCAAGGAATACTGGGTTCAATAATTCAGAATAACGAAATCAAAACGCTATGTTTAAAACCAATGTAATTGAATGGCAACTAAGACCACTGATTCAGTTTAATACCAGTATTTTTAATTATAATTAGTTTTATCTATCTTTTGATCTTAGTCTATGTCCCAATGAATGCTAATTTTTATAAGTGCGCTAACTAACTACTAGCAGTTAGATTTGATTACGATTAGAAGTAAAATTGTTTTATCTGTTGTTGTAGGCTAGAATATACTTCATATGATTCAATAGTAAAAGCTATGCGCTGTTTGTATGATTGTAAGTGTTGTAGTAAGAATTTATCTATAAATTTGGTATAGATTAGAGCTTAATAAAGTAGCAAATTATCTACGTTAGCATTCCAGTGCTAATGACGTTGCTAGTGCTGATTATTTTACAGAAACTCTCACACCTTTATGGTGTATTATTTTAAGAGGATGTAGACAGGATTTGAGGCGACTTAAATCTATTTTATTTTGTTCATTTAATAATTTCTGTGCCGTATTGAGTACTACCAGACGTCGCTACAGTCAGTGAATGCTACCGTTGTACGCCTACAAACGTATTGAGTCCATCAATATTGACTAATCGTTTAGGATTGCTATTTTATATTAATTTTTCCTTAATTTTTTTTTCACCCTAAATCGCCTATCTAGTATGTATTCGCTCTTGTAAAGCTATTAGGTAATCAACCGACTGCTATAAGGAATAGCAAATACAAGCTGCTAACCGATTTAAATGGTATAATTTCTGCCACATATTGAATGAAAGCTGGCAACGACTTCTTTGACTCTATTTAAATGTCAGGGAAATCACAATCGCGTTACAATGTCCCAATGAATTCCCGACATTTTTTCTTTCAACAGACTTCCAGTTAATTATGAAAAAAAGCATTATTTATAAAAATGATAATAGCTTATTATTCATAGTCGGCATTACTGTACAGTACATTATCCTGTTCTTTTACCGCTTCAGTAATAAACAGTGATACGTTCTGGGCAAAGTTGACTAATTTATAGTTTGCTGAGATTTTACAATAGCACAACAAGTAGCAGCTAATCGCAATTGGTAGTTAAGCATGAGTACCAATAACGTAGCAATGCTAGTGTTACGTGGTGGACATTGAATTTAGAATAGGACAAGACGTAGCCACTAATCACAATTGGCAGTTAACCACGAGTACCAATAATGCATCAATGCTAGTTTTACGTAGTGGACATTGATGATGGTTCTGAATGTTTAACGTTAATGCTTGCTTTTGTCACTTTGTATTTCACGATTAGAGAGCAACTTATATATTTGATCAGAATCTTTAAAGATACACGGATACGTACATAAGGATTAAAACAGATCGGAATCAATACACGTTAGAGCAGCTTATAAGATGATGGACAGATACATGGGTTATAGCGGCTCTAGAATAATTAGAAGTTCTATCTAGCCGATTTCTCCGAATAACGAGGCAATTAAAATAACAATCCAAGTTAAAGATGTTTTATTGTTCTATCTACAGTACTTAATAGCCTTCCGCGCTTAATACTTGTAGATCTATGGCAGATGCGTCAGTATATTATTACATTCCTGATGATTAGCTATTCATTGCCGTTTCATAGTGAATTAGAAATATCATAGCATAGGGGTAGAATAACTATAAATATGAACTGCTCGTCCATTTTGACCTTATAGCTTCAAGGGTCGCTCTATCCTGAAACACCGTTCATTGTGTTGAATTACCGCTGTATCTCTGTAAGTCGAAAAGTAGGTTTAATTATTTTCTTGATGCTCCAGATGCAATCAAATACGTTCTTTTGCAATATTAGCATTATGTACGGCATCATTTCTACAATATTGACTGCCTTTAATGATCATTTATTATACAATAAAATCCGCTACGCTATAAGTAAAACTGTGGCTAGTTACTTTCCATTCTAATGGCGATGATCTAATTTATGCCGAATTGCTCTGCGATAGCTTGCTATGATTCTATTAGCAAAATTAGTACGGTAGTAGATTACGCAATATCCTTATTTTTTGAGGCAAAATTCAGGTTAGTCGAAATTGTTTGCATATTTTGAACCATTGCCGATACCAATATATTTACAAATCTTTCCTCAATGATTTAGAGTTTATCGGAATAATTACAGTATGACTATTTCAAAGATTTAAAATATTATACCGATCCGTAGTAGGATGACTACAGTATATAGAATGGGTTGTGTATATCAGAGATATTATTTCTGGTACATTGATAAATCATAGGGCGTAAAGGCGGGATGAAAATGGTTTAGGCACTTTTGAGATATGTACCACTAATCATTAATGATCTAATGTATGATGTTATAATTAGACAGAAAGCTGTTTTAATACCATAACTGATGGAATGTTATAATTCAATTGATTGCAGTTAAGATGTCAGAATCATGGTCCTAAGCCCTAGGCCAGGCATCAATTACGCTATCACATCGACTTAATTCAGGAAATAGTAGGGCTTGGTCTGCCTTTATTTAGCGGTGTTTAAAGTACTATTTAATTCCTAATCTTATATTTCTAACATCAACTCAGTTGAGAAACAGACTTAACAATAACCGTAAATATTTTCATAACGTAGATAGTACAAACTTTGCTCGGTTCTTGTTAGTATCGTAGGGTACATTCAATTACATTAGGTAACTTTGCTCAAATACATATCCAAGATAAATTTAATTCATACATTATTTAGTCTTAAATTACTTATAATGAATTACTTAGAGGAAATGCTTTGCCTAAAGATATATTCACTACAGAGTTGAGGGCCATTATACTCATATAAAGTACTATATATTTGCAAATGAAATCATACGTCTACGAGAACATGATTAGCTGGAACTGAATATCTATAGTCAAATCACACGCGAATAAAGTACGATAATATGCTAGTATAGTTTCAGCTGTCCCTGTATTGCTCTTATACTGAATCATAAATATTTTATAATAAATAAATATCTGTCGTAAATATCTTTTTGATACGAAGAATTAAAATAGCACTGTAATTACTTTTTACAATTTCATAAATGTTACGATAACTGCATATTGATATAAGCGCTAATTTACGCAGACTGATAGCATTGAATCAAATCTATTCTATTCCGCATCACGTTTTGCAATAGCATACCATTTACTGATCTTCTATAACTCAATAGATCGCTTTCCTAGGGCAATACTGATATTAGCTTTGGTCAAAATTAAGTTTTAAGTTGAAGACAACTTTCTTCTTGCAACTTAACAGTGAGCATGTCTACGTCTACGCGACATGTAAATATTCCAAATGATCACGAATTTACTGAGAATAGGTCTACTGTGTCATCGATGAACAACCTTAAAGCACTTTGCTTCATCACTTACGCGATTGCCTTAATCCAAATTGCTCTTGCTATCTCCGGACTTATACTTCCTTGCAAATTTGGGATCTACATCATCAGTTTCAACCGGTTTGGTAATACCTACTGGATTGCAGGGCCGGTACGTTCTTTATGTGCTTTGTTGTTATTCGCTGGATAAATTGATAATATCATAATTTGCAATATTAGTTGCAATATAGGGATTTTATTAATTTCCTTCGAGCTAAGATTTAAAAATTTTACGTTGGCGCGATTAAGAATCAAATCTTATTTCTAAACCTAGCCAATGCACCGAGGATGAAGCACGTTGAATATTTATAATATCAAACTGCTTGAACCATATCTAACGATTGCGTTGTTTATAGGTGCTTCTCTATACCTTCTTAGTTGGATCTACAATCCCAAAAAATAATTCTGGTATGAATAATGTAAGAACATTATCATATAATGGCAAATACAGTAACTTTTAATAATGCATATCGTACCCTTATATTGAGTATAATTATCTGGCCGAAAGTATCATACATTAATTGTCTTAATCGAATGGATAACGGTTTAAAGGAACACTTTTAAATATAAGAAATTCTTATGTGATCTTAACAGCACTTGCAGTCGGCATTTATTTAACTTATCCCCTTTAATTTACATGATTAGTATTGTACAAACTTTCTCATATGTGTTTTAGTCTTGAAACATGGTGAATACTCGTATTTAATTTCAGGACATGGTAGATTAATTTACTGCATAATGTGTTTCTTATGTAGTTGTAAGCATAATTCTCATATGGTTGAATTCTATAAAAATAACATAACAATTATCTTATCAATCTGATACGCTACGAATTGATTATTTCCCCCTAAATATTTTCTGCAAAATAGTTATAGCAAGGTGCAAACATGTATTCGTATAGTGCGGTAATAAGCGCTGCATTTTGTAATAGCATAATTCCAAAGTGTTCTGTCCTTGATTTAAATCTTTCTAGATATCATTTATCAAGATGGGAGCTTTTCTATGTGCGTTATGCATAATAGCCGGGTTTGTAATTTTAGGTCAAACTCTAAAGGTAGCTGGCTTTCTAATAGCGGATTTAGATTCTGACGATATCTTTCACAGCGACGTTTGCAAAATACCCTTGAATCAAGCTTATACGCCTGCTTTGCTAGTCACTATTCTACAACTCTGCATTCATATTTTTTATTTTGGAGTCTGCATCAAGTTTATAAGGATAAGTAACAGTCCAAGTGTATCGCTAGAGAGAAATTCTGGCCATAGCTTACTTATGGTAATGCAACCTAAGCTACCAATTATTAATTTTTTATGATCATGATCTTAATATGGACAGTTAATGATTATCTAAAGTTTGGTTAGCATTAACAGCGATATTATCATTATTATTTATATCTGCAGATACAACCACTACCAGAAGAAGCTCCACCCTATGAATTTTGCGATAATACTCAGTACAGAGCTGCATTCGCAATAGATAAAAGACTGCCAGAAAGTGATATAGATCAAACTCACGATAACAGTTCAAGTTTGTAATGATAGCGATACCATATGATCATTTTTATTACTGCTACTGCTTCTAGGCTTTTGCAGTGTGGACTAAGCACATAAAAATTCATTTGAACTCTCTTCTTTCTAAACTAGTTGTAGTATAAAGTACCATTAATGTAACAATTTAAGATCCCGAAGCTATGCAATTAGATATTTTTGAATTATTAACGATATCTAAGAACTTTAGTGAACGGTACCCAAAAGCACCAATTTCTTCGGATGTGGATCCATGATTAGATCAATTTCAAGGTACAACTAGAAGGAAAAATACTCTCTCGCAAGAGATTTATTGATTTAACTGTGCATTCATAATAACCGTATATATACTATAGTTTATATGATAAAGTACTACGAACTGTTTGGATGTGAATTCTAAATCAAATATTTTCTAGTAATTATGATGATATTAATGTAACTACAGTTACCTTAGAATAGAATAAAGCTATGATATCACCAAATACTTGGCGTTACAATGCATATGAAAGATGGTGTAGTTCGACTGGTAATACTGGTTGTCCCCATCTATAGTGAATCTTATCAGTAATGGTAGCAAATTTTGTTCATTAATGACAGCATAATTTATACTACTTTGTCATAGAGTACAGGATGAACCTGAACGTTTAATCTACGTTCTAATTTAATTATTAAAATAGATAGGCCCAATTTATAGTATTATAAATATAGTAACATTGAACCTATGTGAAATCTATCTTGAGGGATATGATAAATCATCAGTTTAATTTAAAATACTTTAAAATGATAAATTTAATCCGATATCCCAACGCCTCTGCGTAGCATATAAAAGTTGTTGTAGTTTGATAGATTAGTAATGGAACGGTTCAAATTTAGGGTTAGGATTCTGAAGGGAGGAAGACAACACGTAGATTTTTCTCAATCGCGATTAACTATTCCATTTTGGATAATTTTGGGGGTTAAAGCAGTCAATTTTCCCCTTCGATAATTCTTTAAAATGCTTTGAGGTTTTCTGTCAAAATTATGATGAATTGATGTTTTTTCTTGGCTTCAGTTGGAATTCAAAGTATTTACGGAGTACTAGTCTCAATAATTACTCGTCATACTTACTCAGCTTGTAGCCGCTTTAGCAAATAAATAAAGCCTAGCTTAACCTTCATTTCATTTGAGCTTGATTTCCATTAAATATTACTACCGCAATTGCATTTAAATTGCCTATTGTGATTTAGAAGGTAAAATAAAGTGAATCATAGGGTGAAGAGATAGAATCTACTATTATGAAAGTTGTAGTGAAAGGTTTAGAACTTAATAAACTAAGATTGAATTTAGAAAATCAACGGTTATGAAATCGAATTATATCTATAGCATTTTCTGGCCCATACATATATATAATTATTTTCAGTTGCTATCATCTCTGAATTTTAGTGCCATATCTGCTAATTCTATCTCAAGTTTTCGCGAAATGCTCTTATCGTAAAGTACACAACTCTTCTTCCTGGCTAGAACTATTTAGCTAATATTTATATAAATATTTCGTAATTTTATAATTATATCAGCTATTAATAGCAATTTTTCTGCAGTTGTAAGATGAAATTTCATCTCATCATCGTTCCATATCTTTCATTTTAAATTTTTCCTTTCTATTTATGATGAAGTTGGGATACTTTTATTTCGATATCTGCTCAAAGGCTGATGTTGTGATCGACATAATGACCTCCAAAGAGGTGATAATTACCAATGACTACGCGGGTAGCCAAAAGGAGAATTAGTAAACATGCTAACATGCCGATCAGAAACTGATGTTGATCAAACGAAAAGTACTGAACTAAAAACCTCCGTAAACAGCTGGCGGTAAAATTAAACCTTAATTTTAGAGTTACCACATCACCAATATCAATTTCGTATCTCATTTGGAATCATTTTTAAGTTAGCACCCTGAGGTAGAGATTTCAGTATTTCATACTGATCGTTTTCCTTGTAATGCTTTGACTGATACATTATATTTAACAATCAAGAGATTTTTGCTCTTGTGGTGGCGTAATCTAATTCAGCAGCGTATGAAATCTGCTATGGCCAAACTATTTTCCGTTTTTCTATTTCTTCATTATACAATAGTAAATAATATAGGACACCTGCTATTAAATATAGTAGGCAATGTGGAGTCCAGTTCATGTGTCTAGAACAACATTAGTTATTTTTCTGTAAGTTATGGGCTACCGGTGAGAAGAATGAAATTATGAGAAGAAATTAGTTCATAAATTAACATGATTATTTATAAAAGTTGAATAATTTCCTGTAACAGTTCTACTAATATTATCTCTGGAACAGTCGCGTATGTGATGCAAGGGCACCTTATGGTTAAAGAGTACTTAACGCAAGTCTGAAAATTTTTACTTCTGTGTTTAATAGTAAAAATCGAACCCTACTATCATCTGATAGATTTCCTATTTTGTTACAGCTTTTAATTTGAAAATTTAAGAATATTGGACCCAGCAATTAGACCTGTCAATTTGGTATATTTTTGGTTAGTATAGTACTTAACTTTAGAAAATTTAAGTTTGGTTTAGTTTTTGCTACTGTAATCACATTTCATCTTATAGATTTACTTTGAATGAACAACTCATGGACATTAAACAAAAATCCTATTACAGCTACTATTTCTAATAGAAAGTGAAAAATATTACATTAACATGATACTATTTAGTAATCCAATCTACTTAACACAAGGCATCACTTCTATCATTATGACTATTAAACCTGATTACATTTTCCGCTTTTAATAAGAAACTTTTAAAAATAGAAATAGCTAAAATTTTAATCTTTGATTTGTGTACGTGACTACTTGATTTAAAGTGCATCAGAGAATTGATCTAACTTTGTATGCCCACCGTAATTAGCGTTTTGTCTCCTAATTAGTCTTTTTAATTTACATAGAATATGCTGTACTGTAAAATTAATTTTGAAGGCTACAAAAGTAAAAATGAAGAATGAATGGCTACGAAAACACATTCCGAATATATTATAGAATTTAGAAAAGTTATTATCGCGACTTAAAATTTTTCATTTCACCTTTTGAGCGATTACATATGTAATAATTTTGTCCAAATGATGATGTTTAGAGAATTCAATGATAGTTTTTCTTGCTTTATGTTTTTTAAAAAGTAAATAGTATCAACAAGCACTTGGCCAGTATAAGTTAATAAGTCTTTCATTTTTTTTAGAAAATGGCAACTTGCAGTCGGAAATTAGCAAGTAGTATTAAAGTACTTTGTGGCATTGCTGTATTATTTAGTTTAGTCCAGTTGGTAATTACCGCTATTAGCTTTACCAAACCTTGTCCAATCGGGCTCTATTTCACTAGTTACACTCAATATGGAAATGGTTTTTGGGTTGGAGGACCGGTAAGTTTATTAATCACTTCTGTTTATCTTTATTACATATTTAAAAATCATGTTTATAATTAAAATAGTTTGAATACTATGGAAGTCAAATTGATTTGTTATAATTAACTACAATTAGGTTATTGATACAGTATTAGATACAGCAAAACTAATCGATTAGGTACTTGGAATAAGTTTCAAAATAATAAGCGATTATGTAGCTACTATCCTTGCTATTTTCTTTCAACTCTACGATTCACTACTAAAATTTAGATTCACCTATTTTAAATTGTTTGCAGATATTTTTATTATCCGCGTTTATCACTTATGTTGCCCAACACTCATACTTTTCTACAAGGAGGGTAAGGCATTAATTGTCCACATTATCATTACTGATTATATTCAGTCCAATAAGAACAGTTCAATATCTATAGATAATAGAAATTCTGATGTAATAGCTACGTACTTTGCTATCTTTAAGTTCACGATACAACGATTGGGAGGTCCCCATCAAAGCCTTCACGATGTAATCCATTTCTGGAAATCTAATTTTCTTATCATATTTAAATCCGGTTACATTAGGTTGTTTGCGTGAAGGCGGCTGCATATTTATGCGTAGCATGCATCATCGGCGGAGTTGTGGTAGTTAGATTGGCTATACGGTCACTTGATGTATTACAGTCATACAGAAAAGTTATACGTTTTAATTGCGGTGTTTCTCAAGTTCCGATGTCACAAATCTATGGGCCATTTATAGCTACATCTAGTATGCTGGTTATTTTCTATGCATTCTATCTTGTACTTTGCCTGTGCATCATAAGAATAGATGGCCTCGAACTTGAAAGCATTAAAACTTCGATTCACATCGGCCAAGCATACTCGTACATGGTAAGCATGGTGTATTTTAAAACGAAATATTGATTTTCTCGCTAAGTGATACGTATTGCTGTAATTTTAAAATAAGTTGATATGAAAACAATGAAATATTCAATTTGGCTCATAGCTAGTGCTTAAGAGTAGAAAAATAATTTTAAAAAGATATTCTACCAAAGTTACTGAATGTGCCATTACTATCAATTAATTTAAATGAATTTTTGTTCGCATTTGTAAAATTACGGTATTGCTTTACTTTTGATGCTTATTTATTAGTTAGTTCTTGTGTTTATATTATAAGTATTGATAGGGTTGTAAATTTTATTCTTTTGTATGGAATAATTATCATGATATGAACTATGCATTTAATGTTTCTAGAAGAAGCAACCCATATCTTCGTACGAGAATAGCGCTCGAACAAGTAATACATTAGAAAAGGACAGCGAAGCGGGCATACAGGATGCCAATGCAACCACCTAAATATAGTATACTGGTAATGCTTAAACATAAACGGATGGCCTTTAATATCTTTCAATTATATTTTATTACAACGTTAGTATCATTTTGCACATAATTCTGTATGTATTAGTGGTTAATGGACTGCTTCTATGGAAAGGTTCAAAGGTTAGCTTATTAAATTGCAATAGTTTGCGATTATTAATAACCTCTAAAAATGTCAGGGTTAGAAAGGATGAATGTGTGAATAATCTTTAATTTATATCAGTCTGGATGGCTTAGACAAGGATTGTATTATCTATAATAGTTTTACTGCATCTATCGCAATTAAATCATATGCTAGTAAAATTTTACTTTGTGGTTCAGTTTTTTTCATTTCAATTTCTTAGATATTTCCACCTATCCTGTACCTATGTATTTATAGCAACGGCTAAGAGTTAAAATTTTGTGTTGGGATTTATTTCAAATATTAAGCTCTTGCTCATATTTACAGAATAAATCTAAGTCCATAATAGACTTAAATTACTAGTTTGATCAGAACTAGTTGTCCACTTTTATTACAGACCGATATTCTACATCAATTTGGCAATGGTAGCTTCGTAAGTTTCTATAAAGGTATTTTCTAATTCATCGGCATCACACATTTATCATTTGGGGTTTCGCAGCTCAATTTGAGTAGAGAGACATATGGTTACTGTGATCTTCTGATGGGCGGAGATTTGCAGATATGTTTCGGCTCTGCTAATGAGAAAGGACTAGGTTTTCATTTTTAATTTCGGATGTACGGAAACGGAACACTTTGGCACAGTCTGGTTCGTAACCGAGTGGTACTTACATCGCGGTTACATATAATGTTCATCAGAATGTAATATTAATCTTACAGCTACTATAACATTTTCTATCCACTAGTATAATGTGGTAGCATACTTATACAATTTTGATACTATATTCATTAACGGTATAATCGTAAGATATTTTCCGGCATCTATGATCAGGCATAGGAATTTAAGCTAGTTTCTGCTACATCTTGCAACGAACCATGAATATATATCTACATGTCGCCATTTCATCAGAAATCTCTCGAAATGGAAAAATGAAATCACGCTAATAAATCACGTTGTATAACAATTATTTCCTATGTACGGGTAGTTGAAGTGAGAAATAGATGTCTTAAATCTATACAGTATACTGTATTAGACAAAAGTTAACTTTATTTTATGAAAGCCTTAGCATATTAAATTGCATTCTTTTCTAGTTCATATTACTTTAGATAGTTGATATTTGTTGTTATGTGAACACTATATCGATATCAATTCATTCATGTCAGTAGTAAAAGTGGCTAAAGAATAATTGTCATATTTAAATTAACAAATTAATGATTCCTGAATACCTTTTTTAACAACTCTGCTTTCTATTATAAAATAAAAGCAATCATATATATGTATGGCAGTAAGAAATAATCTGGCAGTAAATTTTCATTTAATGTATTGCTTTGTGTAGGATATACTGTATAGAATACAGTGTATACCCGTTCATTTAAACTGGAACTTTGCTAATATAGCGTAATAATAGTAGATGATCAATACGATAATTTCTTACTTCACTTTAATATCGTGACAGCCTTCAATGAACAGTTATAGCAGAAGTGACTAACAGATGTCTACAATTTCGTTTGCATGGATAAAAATTATCTGTTGAAGGACTTTCGAGATCGTAATTACTGTATAGCCACATTTATCTATTCTACGTTAACGGCTTTCTCTTCCTTATATAGCTCGATATCCATTTAATTCTGGTAATATCCTAAAATACCGACAGTTGCAGTATGGGAACTGCAGTTTTTATTTCTATATCGTGATAATCTGCAATAAGACGAATACGGAGAGTGTCTACAATTCTATATACGTGCACTGGATAAATATCACTTAGCATTTACTGGTATGTATTATTCTTCGAAAATAAATCATTGCCTTAATCACAGTATGTGTGCTATTACTATTCTACAGTATAGCCTAGTAATCTACATCATAATTGCAAGGTTCATCGTTGAGAGTAAGTAACTACTGCATGACTCTGCATTTATACTGCAAACTTATGAACAGCCGCATCGGTAACCTATATATTATTTGGATAATCTGTTATCCATTAAGACAATAAATGATTACTTCGGAGGTATTGATTGGCTGCTACAGTTCCTTTTTCGTCACCAGTGACTACCTGTGGTTAGTAAGAATACGTCCGGAGCCATCGATTCATCAATCAATATTGACATCGAACAATGAATAGAAGCAAAATACAACGCGGCCATATTGGATTAATGAATAATGCTATTGATCTTTAAAATCAATGAAACGAGTTATTGTTTAAAGCTAGGTGCCAGACTGAGCTATTCACCGTATTATTTTATAGCGAGAGAACTCATCAAGATATCGTCATTTCAACAACCCATAGTGGGTCATAATGTCCTATCTTAAGGCTTATTTTTTTTTGTCCGATTAATAGCCATAACGTATCTAGGAAATTCTTCGTCCATTAAAATCCTTGTTGTTATATCCTAAGCGGCTATCGCAATTTTAAACTGCTACTTTGTAGAGTGGGTAAGTCTTTAGAAAAGTAAATTTTATTTTATGGTTTACCATCTGCTTCTATTGATTTCATTACTGACTTAGTATATGCATTATGGCATTTATGGCAAAGATATTATTTTTGTGTAACTTATTTTATAAAATGACCATAATTTTTGAGGTAAACAGTTATGAATTATTTGCTTTCTTTTGCCATTTAAAACATTATTTAACCCGAATTTTATGTAGATAGTTTAGCGTTGTTGCAACTTGTTCTATTTTTTTACTTGGTAATTGAGTTCGATAGAATAACACAAGGATGATTACATTAATTGAACGATACTGTTATTATTGGTATCTTTACCTTTTACCGAAGCCTTTGCATTTCCTGTAGAGGGAGCGACTAGGCTTAAGGCCTTGTGAAAAGTATAATTTGAGCCTATTACTAGGGTTTAATCAATTTGTCCCAGTTACACTAGCAATAAAATGCAGATTTTCATATACTGTCGATCTCGAAGCCCAATTTGGCAAGAAATGAAAAGATTTTAATCGATATTTCATATTTTTGTAACAGTGGTCCATACGATCGGTTAGGAAGTTAAAAATAAACTATTTTAATTTGATTCAATATTAAATTATGTACAAGCAAGCAATCGTTGAATGATGCTCAATTCTCTGGTGTTTATGGCGAAATTGACTATCATAACTGCATTTTTAGTTAGTAAATGTATCTAGAAAAAGATAAAGATTTACAACAAAATTATATCTACCAGTAGACTTATGAAGTACGGCACTAGCAAGGCAATATCGATACAAATTTTTCTTAAAATAAGATGGGAGTGAAATAAAGAATCTCTTCATGATTGCACTATGATAAGTTAATGGCTTAAATGAATTTGAAACTGGTATTGAATTGCTTGAAGTACTAGCGAGTAAAGACTTTATTCGTAACTGATATCGGAGATAGACTTATTTCTAGGCTTTACACGAACACCCTGTTCGCGATCCTTAGTGTATGCCGTACTTGTTTAGCGACTATAATATTTCAGTGTAAATGAATGCTTATTTGTTGCATGTAATAATTACGGTATAACCACAAGAATAGAAAAAACATCACTGCCATTTTTCCATTTTAACTAGTTGTTTGTAGTGATAAATATCCTGTTGATAACATAACCATAAAAGTACTAAATCGAATAATTTTCGGTATAAACTTTGCTTTACTATCGACGCCTTTTAGCTTTTTTACTAAAATTATTTACAATGTCCGATTTGCTTAAAATATATCTACTGATATCAAATCTGCCACAATACGAAAGGTTAAGCCATACTTAAGTTATTCTCATTAGCAATCCCTTAATTAGTTCATTCACCTATTTTAGCTTTCTTTTTAGTGGCTCTATTTTATTCCAATGAGATCTATACTATGAACGAATAGATTTTGATCTTGAGACTTTTATAACGCTGCTGGTTCTGATGAGCATCAGATAGGACATTATAAACGTAGTAGACACCCTAATGCTTTTAGAATATGATTACAATGTATGAACATTCTTGTAAAGTGAACGAAATATAGATCCGTTGTCTGGTCAATTTTATTCGAAATCGATTAAGTTGACAAGTAAAACTAATCTAAAATTACTAGCAACGATTTATCTCGGGGTATGGCAACCGAAACACATATCAGAAATCTGTTGGTCAATTGATGTTATTGAGTTGAAGTACATCGAATAACGTTCGTAATTTCTTAGGGATTTAATGCTAGCCTTTAACTAGTTATTTTAGAACAAAATCAACCAGATCTGAATTATACCGTTTAACTTATTCATTACGTAGCAATACGCATAGGTATTAGCGAAAGCCAAATGAATTGAAAACATATCCTGTAATGTCCCTCTACATACTATAATTAAGGTACATCTGCTGACTGTGAACTATATCCGTTAAGGTATGGTTTATTTCATTTGTCTATGGGATTATTTGGTAACCCATAAATCGAATAACAGCTTATAGTTGGCTTCACAATATTGCGCAACAGCTAAGACAAGATACCCTGATCACTTCAAAAATCTGTACCCTAGTAATTCATAACTAATCGTAAATGACCAAAAATACCTCGCTCCAAACTTTATACTTAGCAGGTGATGTCATTGGAATATTAGCCAGACTGATTCCTTAAGATTTGATTAAAAATCAACTCGTTTTTTACGTTAAAAGTTAATCGTTAACTATAAGCAAATAATATCGTCGGTAATTGCAAAATACCATGAACCAAACTAGTCTACGTGTATAATATCGTTTCAGAAGCTCTATCTTCGCTATTTAGATCAGAAATGAACAGTAATATGAATGATTACTTCTTCATTCTTTTAATTCATTTTTTGATTTAGCTCAACATTTGTATTAGCATAAAAAGTAAAAACGTATAATTAAAGAATGAGGTCTTTCATTAACAGTAAACTGGACGTATTCAATTTTTTCTATTTTTAAAATTTGTCCATATTGGTGGAAAAACTTCCACTGTAAACTAATATGTCCCGAAAGGAAGAAGTACTTCTGACTTAAATAAGCTTTCCTTCTAGGGACAAGTGTGATTATTATTAGAATATAAATAAACCGTTACATACTCAACTGCAATGGGGGAACGGCAGGTACTTTCCTTTATTCCTGCTACGGTCAACTTTATAATCACATATTTTGTAAGAGTTAATTGCATCTGAATTATTACACTTTCATAACCATACCCAGAAGAATATAAAATTGTATATTGTCCTAAAATATTTCCTTTTACCTTAGAGGTGCACTATCATATCCATCTATAGTAGTCATTAGCATAAACGTCTTAAGGCTTTCGTCGTTAGAGGTAATTTCTAGGTAAGGATAAAAGTGATCATTTTTGAAGTATCCACTACAAAGATTGACAGATTCAGCTTTTACTTTAGCGGTACCCTATCACATATACCTATAATACATATTAGCATAACAGTCTCAAGGCTTGCGTCATTTTGATTGATTTTAGGTCGGACAAAAGTGATTATTTTTGATATACTCATCCTAATAAAGACCAGCATATTCAGTCTGTACGAATACACTTTTGCCATAACTTGGACTAACATTTCAAAAGTGCTAAGATTAGTGCAGTACCTGTGACACCGAATAGCTATGTTAGAAAATGGTTAGGACCATAGTGTTAAACCTCTATAGCTAGGACTTTTAAGTGTTGAAGAAAGCATACTGTAGATTCTACTGACATTTTACGGTATATTCCGCCGTTGAGAGTATAAAAGCTGAGTTGTCAATGGAGGGTGGTGGGTTGGTAGAGGAAGACCACACTTTTATGAAGTACACAGCTTTATTTAAAGGTAATTAAATGCGTTGTTAACTGCACAATGACACACCGGTAGTCTTCGGTTCATCAGGTAAAGCAAGAAGATGTGGTAGGAAAGTTACCGTACTCATGACTATAAAGCATTGAGTAATGCATTTATATCGACTGCATTATATATTATTGCTAGGTCGTTAACGAAACTAATTCGCAACATACTTTCTGTAATAAGACAAGAGTTTCTGAAGTTCAATTTCAAGACAGGAATAAATATTAATCGTTCTATTTCAATAACAGTTAATAGTTTCGTAACGATCAAACAATAAGAATGCGATCTAGAGGAATAACGTATTATTGCATGAATTATTTTATATTTGAGCTTATGTATTCTGAAGTGAGATTTGAAATAGGATTACATAAAAGGTCATTAAATGACATTAAAGAGTTTAGTTCCCTTTTATGAATTTCCTTTATTACGCACGGTTGGCGTTATTTTATACGGATCCTGTATTAGAATAAGAGAGAGCACTGGTGTTTTCATTTTACAAGACATTAAATTCTAGTTACAATGGCTGTTGTAGGGGCGACAAATAATAAAATTTATCAACGCCACGTCGACAATCATACAACGATCTGTTTTAATTATTTTTAAATAATTTTACCATAAGATTACTTTATTTATGAACTATCAGGTACTGTTACTCATATTTCGTCTAAGATATTAACACCTTATTTTATTTAACGTAAATTTTGCTTAGGATAAGCCTGAACAATATTAATATACAACACTACCAAGTATCATCTTTAAAATTAAAGGCGAATCCATCTATAATTAATCTGTTTATATAATGGCTACAACTTCATCTCCAGTGGCAATCAATCCACCAAGTTATCAAATTATTATAACTACTCTTAATAATAGAATGCCAGCAAATCGCATTAAAGTATTTTCCTTCATAGCCATAGCTATCGCCATAATTCAAATTGCGGTGGCCGCGGTTGGATTGTCTGAGCCTTGCCCAATTGGTCTGTACGTCTTAAGCTTTGGTCATTATGGAAATAGTTTCTGGGTAGCAGGACCAGTAAGTTCACTGAATCACTTGGCATATTTTAAACTTTTATTGCAATGAATATCATAGTTTTACTAGTATAATTGGAAACAATCAGATAAGGATAAGTTTTCTACCGAAACTGTATAATTTGAATTATTGGAGTGAATTAGCTTTCTGGACAGTACTTTTATCTTGAATCTAGTGCTAACATACAGACATAAAATATCTTTCTGTAAATGCACATTCACCTATACATTATAAGCACCTATGATGGTATTTCTGCAAGCATTTGGTTGACTAGAACACTTCTCTTTAAAAAACCACCTGAAAATTGCTATTTTGCTTATAGATATTACTCTATGCTTTGGCTATTGGCTGCAGTGTGGATCGGAACAACCTTACGAAAAATAGGGTAAGGCTGTGCGACTTTAAAATATACTTATATTAATATGTTTTATAAGTACATATTGGACTGATTAATTACTACCAGTAGTTGTGCAATAACGAAAACTATTTCACATGAATATTCGGTAAAATTTCTAAAGCATTATTTTGCTACCAGATATACTCTTTGCTGCTGTTACCGTACCTTAATAAGATATTAGCAGAGCAATTTTTCGATTTATCGTTTAAGAAATTTATAGATCATTGCAGCAAAAGAAATATTTTGCGCTAAAATCATTTTTAATTCTAATTTGGTCATTTTAGATAGCTAATATGAAGATAGGCGCGTTTCTATGCGTGCTTTGCATCATTGGAGGATTTGTAGTATTAGGTCTGACTATACGCGCGCTTTCAATTCTGTCGGTTTACTCTGACCACTTCCATTTCGATTGCGGCACTCATAAAGTTTCTGTAAATGAAATATATACTCCTGCTGTTTTAACAACAACCGTCCACTTTGGAATCTACATATTTTATTTTTCGTTTTGTGTGTGGATTATGAGACTGAATAACGATTTCTATCCAAATATGTTCGCTGCACGATCTAGTGGTCGTAATACTTTTGTGGTAAGACAATATTTTGAGAAATTAAGTGAAAAATATATATTACAAGGTCTTCTACCTATATTTATTGTATCATTAAAGTGTTACTTTTTTAAATGCTAATCAGAAGTAATTGTCATTGAATTAAATTTCTACTTCAAGTTAGGAATTAGTCACTATTATAGTTTGGAAGTAATAGCCTCAAATCCAGAAAACAGTCGTTATTTACAGCTGATTAAGTCTCACATATCAATTTAGTATTGGAAATAATCATAATTTGAAAGTGAGAATTATTGTTAATACATGCAGCAGTCAGTATGCCTATGAATCTTTGATTTTATTCTGCTAGCAAATCAATAAGGCTAGAAATAATCACCATGTACAATTAATAAATTAAATCCGCAAAAGCGATCTTTCTTAACAGTTAATTCATAATTAGAAAACGATTTCCGTATTTCTTATTATAGAAAATTAATAATCTACATACAAGTATGAATTCATATTAAGTCTTTACAGCTGATAATTGTGATTGCTAATTACATTGTCTAATATGTATCTATCATAAAATAATTCAAATCACAACATTTACACTTCCAGCAACACATTCTATTATCTGTAAATATTAAATCTATGCAAACTTGTTTGCATACAATCTACGTAGGTTCAACCACCAGCAGAAGAAATTCCTTCATACGAGCAATGTATTGCAAAAAGTAAAATACTGACGAAAGATGGTAAATTAGCTGCAATAAATGTGCCTCAGACAGCTCAAGCATAGTGTTAAAGCGGCAAAATCTACCATCTGTCTTATTAAAGTAAATTATACACGATAAATCACCTTTAATTGGATTGTAATTATAGATGCTGGGATATTGACGTAAACAGTAATAGTCTCTTGTTTAATTTCTGGAATTTCTGCCTTTATCTCATTATAATTTAAGGTGTTCATGGCAATAAAACCATCTGCTAGTAAAGCGCTAATGAAATCTGCAATAATTGATAAAAATATACTAGTTACGTTATCTAAATCTGAGAGAATCAATCATTCACGCCTTAGAATTAAAATTATATACAAAACGCGCATCTATTTCGGAATTTCTTTTAAAACTGGACTAAGTAGTAAGTGTCATATCAGTTTGCGTGTACAAAGCCTATTTTACCATTTTTTGACGGTTCATTTTGGATCTGTATACTCATAAATATTCTAAGTTACGTTGGTCATAGCAATATTACCAAATACTGCAATTTATAAATAACTCTTTTCATTTTCGAATTCGTCAATATTTAATTCATGTTGATATTGAATTGGAAAAAAGTGCATTTTATGCATAAATATGCTGGTACCTGTTTTCTAGAATTTTACACACTATAATTATTTATATGTGGCCGTTATAATAAACTATCTTGGAAACTATGATTTTAATGTTATTGAATATATTTTTGTCTTGGTTAATTTGATATTTAATCTAGACAAGGAGTTGGGATTGGCACGTTTTATTATAGTCCTTTATTATATATGATGGCATTTAAAACAGAATAATTTACTTGAGCTCCTTATTTGATTGCCTTTAGCTATAACTTTGTAGCTAGGCCACCTAGATTAGGAACAGGTACTTCAAAAAGATTCATATTAAAAAATGTTAGTAATAGCCGCAGAATTTTTAACTTAAGTCAACCGTATGGAGTCCTAGAACTGACCCCTCTTTACCCTTCATTATTTCTTGCCGTTAAGAAATATTAAAATTTCATGTAGACATACCCTACAATTAGATAATTGCTCACAAGATGTTTGGCATCTTGTGCATATATATCATTTTGAAAGGATTTCCAAGTGTTGGATTGGCTGTCTCAAACTTAATCACGATATCCGAATCTAATACAATTATTGTTTGCGCTGAAGGTTTCCTTCCTTTCATCAATTCTTGGATACTGCTAGTCTCACATTATAGTTAAATTTAGTTTATTACTTTAGGCTGATAAGATGGGCATTTAAATCGTATACTTTGGGTATGCAGTATACAGCCATCATTTTTGCACAATGTTAAGTGCTCATCGTTAGTAGTAGGTATGTTATCATGACGATAATGGTCAATTCGGAGTTTATGATTTCTTTATTATGTTTTCATCCAGAACATGGACTATACTATGTTGTAACATTGGCTCTTTAGGCTTAGCTATTAGAAGGAACTATCAAATATCAATCCAGTATTGGTAGCATTGAAGATACTTAACAAACTATAACCAAAAAAACTAAAGATGTTAATCAAGATAAATTTATTTAGTAAGGGTAAGCGTCGGATTGGTATTCGGTTTATCATATAACATAACAGTGAGATGTGAATTGCTGCCAGTTCTAGTGTATATTTTAGCTACTTCATGAATTTTTGTTAAGGACTTTAAAATTGAAATTGATGTAGAATGTTGTCAAATTCACAAACTATTGTAAATTTGATTTTATATAGGGAATAATTAGGAAATTTATATAATATTTGTGTACTTGCTTCACAAGAGACAAATTTATCGATGTTGAAGCTAGTAAATTTGGAGTTTCGACTCTAAAATCAAATCTCAATTTTTATAACTATACGTGTAAACTAGAGTAGTAATATTAAAAACATAATAAATTTCCTAACTTTGCCGACAGAATAAATGCTAACTATCCCACAAATTGTAGCGACTAGTTTAACTAATAACTTTAAGTTTTTGAAGCTATCAAGAGCATTTTTCTTTTTCAAAAAAATTAAGATCATAATCATTCCTTATATAAATATTATGTAATGATTTAACGTTCCTTAAAATCACTAATTTTCTACTTTTCGTTGGTTTTAATACGAGGGTGTCACAAAACAGCTTTGCAACAAGATAACGCAATATACGATCAATAAGTCAGTTCCTTTAACCACGTATCAAGGAACGATATCTGCACTATCACGAACACTTTTGCTCTACTAGCAGACTACACAAAGACTTAAACACCTCGTATTTTACGTTAAGCACCAAGTTGGAGAATTCTCTTTATTTCACGATATACTGCATTTATATACTATTCCTCAACAGTTCATGAGTCATAGTTAATACAATTAACCTGGGAATCATTTACTAAATTAGATATTAACTAGTGCAAACTCCCGTCGCTTTGCTGACGGTTTACGATAATGTGCTCATTTAACAGATAGTATTACCATTTGTCGTACTGTAGACCTGTCAGAGGTTCAGTAACTTTATACCGTGTATCATGGAACATTTCCATGATAATTTACAATCTAGCATAAGTAAATTACAATCACAATGATTCGAATTGTAAGTAGATGATTTGCATTCCCTATTATAGCTATTAATTTCAGTATGTGTATAAGTGTCACTGTCATAAAAAGTCAGTGCTATGTTAAAACACAGTATATCCAAATTAGAAGTTAACTAAATAAGGATTGTCTAACAGAATTATCCTAACATAGTTATTTCTACTGTAATACAGTATTTAGCACTGTAACAGAGGGCTATTTTAAGCTTTAATCTGTTGTCAACTAAAAATTAAAATTTGCTATTTGGACAAAGAAGGTTTACTTTTAACGAAAGTATCCGACTACAAACATTTTATAGCTTAACTTGTAGTAACTGAAACTGATATCAATGCATTCAGACCAGGTACATATGCCTTCTGAACATCAATTTTACTATTTTTAGATCTAAATTTTGAACTTAGGTAAATTTCCCCGCACGGTATGGGACACCATTTGTAACCTCAGCAACATGTTATTTATCTTTTATTATCATTGATTGATTTTAAAATAGAATTTTAAAAAAAGTTTATAAATTCTGCAGGAAAGGATAAAAGTTTCCGTTATTCTTCAAGAATTTTATGGAAATTTTTTATATTGGCTAAATAAGTAGCCCAAGAACGCCAAGCCGATATACTGATCTTTATTGTAAGCATATGGTAACATTGATACACCATTTCTGCAATCATTTTATGAGTTAATAAGTTCTACTAATGTTCATCAGTAGAAGTGGTCGATTTCATCTTGATTTACAACTTCTTCCGACTTTAAGAAAGATATCAGTAGAATCTCCCGTTTGCTTGATTACTAATTTTATTGTACTTCTCCCCAATTTACTATTTTATAATAAACTGAATCCTAGTGCCGAAGTCGATGCGATTATAATTATTAGTCAGGAATTAATCGTTCCTAGAAAATATAACAATAACAATAGATGTTGCAAATAGGTGATTGAATTTGGCGAATTAGAGTTCATTAAGTATGACGTCCTGTCAGTAATTAATTCTTAAGGTAGTAATAGATGATGCTATTTGGGCATAAATTTACCGGTATAGTATTGTACTATATTAATAATTTATATGAGGAGAATTGTAGCGAATTACTTGCTTACAATTTTAACTTCAACCAGATAATTTGAATAAATTTACAAGGGTTAAATTTCATTATATTAATCTTATTTAGTTGTTAAGTCCTTTATTTTGAAGAGTGTAACTGATTAGAAATACCAGCTAATCTATTTTCAGAAAAAATTACTTGTACTTGCGATTACAGCAAGCAAGAAGTTAGCATTGCAATCAACGTCACAATTGCCAGTAAAAACGATTGACTTAGCGAAGACGGATTTATACTAAAGTTCTTCACTTTAGAATCGTAAATGAGGGTTTTTGATGAGGGTATATTAATAAGTTTTGCATTCTTTAGGCCCACGCGTTGGTTGATCCTTAATTAAAGTAGAAAGGCTTTTGAGATAAAACGAGTACTACAAATATTTCAGAAAACGTAATTAAATATCATGCGCCTTGAAATTCTAATTTTTTGAAGATAATATGCTGCTAGGGATTGACCGAGAGATAATACATACCTGCGGTTGCATATATACTTAGTAATACTGTAACAAAAAATTACCAGTAAACACAACGATATATTAACTATTCATTTCTGTTGACATTGATATCCATGTTAAGATCGTGTTTATTCACACACAATCGATTATTATCCTAATTCCAGTAAATTATCTGCGGCTCTTTCCATTTTGGGTAAGCTTATTTTAGTACTAGAATGCACGTATTGCTACTAACTAATTCAATGATAATAAACATTATTTTAAAATAGAAATGGATTTTAATATACTATCGTTGGCTATTTAAAACAATATCATGCACCACGTCGGTTAAACAAGTCATGCAATTTAACTTCCGTATAGTAGAGAGTCTACGTAAGATGTGGTCTTTTATTCAATCTCAATGCGTATAATAAATGATTCCTGAAGAGGTACAAGTTAATTCAGCCAGGTACTTTGTATAGATAAGTTTACGATAATATTGTCAATCTTAGTCATACTCTTACCTAAAATTAAAATTCTGATAGGACTATTCTAGAAATTTGAATTCAATTCTAGAAACAGTGCTAGATACTTGAGCTTTACAAGTCTTTCACTCTATAACCATTCTAAATATTCCCTATTTCACTTTGATTTTCATTTGCTTTTGTAGTAAAAGGACTAAAAGTAGAGTCCTTTGTAGTTTTTAGTATGTAATTAGTATTATTTTACTATACAAAATACCTAGAAAGTGATAGTGTCTTTAAGTTTTACCCTGCCAAATCATCATGTCGCCATCTTTTCTTCTTCATTATTTTACAAGGTATTATATAGATTACTATAGAAGTAGCCCTATAGAGCAAATGCCTAATCTAAAGAAAGGGCGTTTCATCATCCATTCAAATTGTAAAGAAATTTGACTTAGTAGCAAAACCCTATCCTTAGAGAAAGGGGATTTAT